TGCCTTCCTCATCAGACCCCAGAGCCAGGGCCTCCAAGGGGACAAGTCACAGGGGCCCGTGAAGTCTCGGATGTGACACATTGGGACGCCAGGCTCTCGGAGACCACCGTCCGGGGCGACGTGGGGGGCGGGGCAGCCTGCAGGCGCGTGGCGCCTCCCCGGCCTCCACAGGTTCTGGAGGCCCGCCACAGAGGCGGCGAGGACCGAAGTCCCAGGCAACTGGGGCCGGGGGCAGGCCGGGTCTGGAGGCCCGCCACAGAGGCGGCGAGGACCGAAGTCCCAGGCAACTGGGGCCGGGGTGGCAGGCCGGGCGGTGGGAGCCAGCACGGCGAGCGTGGGGGGCGGTGGCTCCTGAAGCTCCGATGAGGGGCTGGGTGTGTCACTTGGAGAGACTCCCGCCCCCGCCCCTTGTCTGCATCTGCACTTGGGAGAGTAACGTGTGGCCCAGGGACAGGGGTGCCGCATGTCCTCGGCCCTGTCTGTGTCCCTCCAACGTCCCCACGGTGGGGCCTGCCTTGCCCTCAACAGTGCCAGCCGGGGTGGCTGCGTCTCCCCCCCACGGGCTGTGGACGCCAGGGTCCCGTACCCAGACAGAGCGGACAACAGCCCTTAGGAGGCTCGGTAGGAGGGACCCCCAGGACCCTCAGCCCCTCCCCAGGAGACAGAGCTGCAGCTGGAGTGGCCACAGAGCTGGTCGCCAAGGAGACGAAGTGCTGGAGATCAGAGGGCGCCAGCAAGCGGTGGTGGACGCAAGGCACAGGCGGTCAGTGCCTCGGGGGCCACGAGGGCAAAGCGAAGCGCTCGGGGCGGGTCCTCGTGACGCGGGGACAGCGGGAGCCGCTCGGGGCAGGAGTCTGTGACATGGGGACAGCAGGAGCCACAGAGGACAGGGAGGGGCAGACGGGAGAGGCGGGCGTTAAAATGGAAGAGCAGGTTTCTGAGCCGAGGGGTCCGGCCCCCAGGCCCCGCGTGGCAGGAGGTCCCGCCACAGACGTCCAGGACCCGCCCTCGGGCGCTGGGAAAAGAGGCAGCTTCACGAAACTCCAGGGACATGTGTGGGACGGGTGAAGGGGGCAGTGAGTGGGCCGAGCGGTGGGCACGCCGGGCTCCCCGACGGCTCGTTCCGTCTCTTCCCTGGCAGGCGGCAGGGAGGGGCCTGGCCTGCGGGTGGCGTGTGCCCGGTCACTCTGCATCTCGAGGCTGCGGTGGACGCCTGGACCCCCGCGTGCTCCAGCACGGCGCAG